CGCCGTCGGCACCCCCCCTGCCCGGGACAGCCTCTCCCACCGTGGTGTTCAACTCAGGGCTTGCAGGTAAAACGCCCGCGCGTCTCCCCAGCATGCTGTAGATTGCTGGCAAAGTAAGCAAAGGCAAGGTCGGGGCATATCGCTAGAGCGGACAGGGTACCGAGGGTGGGACTTTGTTACTCTTAATCACCTAAATAATACCCATTATCTCTTACTGATATTATACTTAGAGGGGTTTATAAAAGGAAAGAGCACTTATCAACCAAACAGTTTGGGTTTGGTCTGGAAGAGACGGCTTCTTCAGTGAAACTAAAGCTATTGCCAAAAATACTTTTCAAACATGAGCATTTTTGGCTTTAAGCAAACAAAATATGGCTTTGAAAGAAACACAAAGCTTCATGGTTTTGATTTCTTCTGAGAACTTGATGAAGAAATATCTGTGCGAAAAAATGGCAAACCTTTTGTAATTTTTTGGAAGGAAGAAAAATTTACTGATTGTCTTTAATCATGTTTTTATGCACTCTCTGACATATGCCAAGCAAGTAAATGCTAATTGGTATCGCACCACTACCCCCCCAGGAAATCTCAAGAGCATGGTATGAGTCCAGAAAGAGAAACCGAGGAGCTCTGATTAATATCTTTTTTTCTGAAAACCGATTAAGTATTCCAGCCTTTAAAGTTTGCTCTGAAAGCAAAAAGCATCATGGAGCTAGAGGGTCCCAGGGTGTATTACCAAAAAAAAAAAAAAAAAAGCACAAAAGGCATGACACAGCTGAGTTACGGGCTGGTCCCTCCCGACGGGTTTGGCAGAGCAGGCTGTGGTCCCGCGGTGCAGAGTGTTGGGGTGCTGGATGTGGCCGTGGTGGTGCTCGGAGGGCTGCTGTCCCAGACACCGTGCCTTAGCCCGGCATCCTCGCGGTATTTTTTGGGGATGGGAGCAGTGGAGCAAGCCCTGCTTCTGCACGTGGCTCTTCTGAGCTGCGCTGATGGCAGGGGCAAGCCCCCGCAGCAGAGCTCCTCGCTTAGGTGCTTGGGTGAGATGCCCAGAGCTGGGTGGGATGGATATTTTGTTCTTCAGTGGGTTAGGAGAAGGAAGGAGAGTGAAAACACCTTTGCTTGATACGACGGCTGCACAGAAAGGAGCGTTTCTCGGGGCAGGAACCTTCTGGGTCATAGGGGAGTCAGTGAAATAACAAATTTTGCTTTTCTGACCATTACTAACATTTTTTCTCTGTTCTTTCTGCTTCCTGGTAAGACGGGCCAATCAAGCTCTTCTGTAGGTTGCTTTCTGCTAAGTATTTACCCACCTCCCTGCGTTTTCCTCTGTGCTGTGCCTGTGTGTGTGCCCGTGGACTCGTGTGGGCGATGGGGAGGCAGTGGGGAGGGGGGAGGCTGGTGCAGGGGCTTGCTGGCCAGAGCCGGAGCACACAGGAGCTTTGGGGATGCTGCCAACCATCAGGATTTGGCACCTGGGAGGTCCTGATTCAGCAAAGCACTTCAGCAAGTAATTAAGACATGCGGTTTCTTTCGAGCCATCCTTGAGCCGTGCTCTCGGCACCGGTTACGTTGAGGATAGGCTTTTCCCAATGAGGCCAAGTGCTGAGCTGCGGCAGCTTTCGCCGGCTGCGAGTACCCTCTGCGGGGTCTGGTCCCGGCAGCGGCACAACTCCCGGGGACGTCACTTTGCCAGGGCTCTGTAACGGAGGAGGAAGGGAAATTTTAAGAGATTTTGATAAGCTACATCAGGAACTGGCCCATGAGGCAGTTAGCCTCCTTTCCTGTCCTGAAATAACCCAGGAGCAGTTAATAATCTATTCTAATGTATGCATGAGTAGAAAATGTTTTTTTTTCATGAGTGTTTCAGATGGAAAAAGCTATTTCTTTTTTTGATTTTAGGAATTATTTTGAAGTAACCACATTAATTAAGCAGAGAATAAAATTGTTTAGTTTAGATGAGCAGAAGTTGATCACGTGTGTTCCTGTCTTCCAGTTGGATGAATATAATTCTCAAAATACACAGACTTTCAAGCTGAATATTGTATATGTTTCCTGTTATTCACTTATGGTTCTTTGTTTCAAGCAAATACTCTTGCCAGTAATTTATTCTTTGTGATGTCCCTGCAAAATGAGCGTGAGCTTGAAAGGGACATGGACACACAACTCGACTCTTGTTTTAAAATGGAATGACAAAGCGAGAGATGTTTTCAGCATTCACCCAGCTCCAGGGCATAACAGGACTGTCCCCTGAAATAGGTTGTCTCTATCGTGGCAAAAACATACATACAGAATTGTTAGGGGAAAGTAAAATAATTACTTACTCAAGTGCTTTGCAACCTGGGAACCTGGCCATCTTCTGAAACTGAGGGGAAGAAAATCTAGCATCTCTACAGAGCATCAAATATTTGGAGAAGATTGCTCCTACTATGAATGCGGGGTAGGCAGGAGTCAGGAGCAAACACTGGACTGAACGAAACCAAACGTGATCCGTCCTCGGCTGGGGGGAGCGGTGAATCTGCCTGTGTGTGCTGCGGGGCTGAGCGTCCCCGGCCGGGGAGCGGGGGCTGTCCCCTGCATGTCTCTCTGCCACTGACTCCCGCTGCGGGCTGAGTGGCTCTTTTTTCCAGCACTGGAGAGGAAGGACCAGGGTTTCTGTTTCATGTTTGCAGCTTGGAAAGAAACAGTTTATTTTCTAAGTAATTCGGGACCAAAACGTTGATTGATCACTTGAATGAGCATCCTGATTTTGTAGCAACTAACAACTTCATGTTTACATCAAGATACAAAGAAATGAGAACTGAATTACAGAAATTATTCACGTACCTTCCAGGCTTGTTAGGAATAGGGATAGAAAAGTATTGTTTTCCTTGCTCCAACGTTGCTTTTTTGTACTCTGTTCACAGATTAATGAGAGTAGTCAGTCTTCATTTTCATAGCTTTTCTGTGTAAGCTACTAAATCATTTACTGGTTCTGCACAGCACAAGAAGATTAAACCTGTTACTTCAACCATGTTAAAGCTCAGGTGTGCTGCAGCCCACCCCCTTTTGCTTTAAAAGACAAACCTGGTGAGAAGCAGCACTGCCCCATTGCAGCAGGCAGTGGGAAGGGCCGCTCCCTGTACCAAAACTTTGGGAAAGGGGCTTTTTTTTCTTCTTGTCACCTATTCTGCGTTGAGTTTTGTGACACAGATCAGCTGTGCATGGCTGTGCATCAGCTCACACCAGGGTGGGCTCTGCACCCAGCAGCGCAGGGTTAAATTCGACCACTCTCTCCATTTTCTGTAGTGTTTAAAAATAGCCTGGGCTTTTAAATCAATCCAGACAACATGCAGTAATAAAGTAATAACACATTTCCTTTAGTGAAGTTTTCACAGCCTCTGGCGTTCAGTCTGGTTCTGCAGAGGCTGGGCCTGAAACAGCTGAGGAGCTGGATGAAAGCTTCTCGGCGCCGTTTGCTGGTCAGGGCAGCAAGATCTTTCCAGGCTTTCCAGTGTGATAATTTAGCTCTGGCCAGTTCTTCCTCCAGTGCTGAAATGCCGACTTGAAAGCTGCAGTTTGGGCATGCGGGGTGTTTTTCACCTGTTGGGGAATTTGTTATTTCTTCTCCTCTGCTCTCTTTAGCTGTGAAAATCAAGAAGCCGATCAAGACCAAGTTCCGCATGCCGGTGTTCAACTGGGTCGCCCTCAAACCCAACCAGATCAATGGGACGGTCTTCAATGAAATAGATGACGAAAGGATCCTGGAGGTATGAGTGCTGCTTGCTGCCTTCTGCCTCCCGCTCCTGTCCATAACACAAGTGAATTGGTCTTTGCAGGGATAGATTGCAGCAATTATTTTGGCAAACAGCTCATCCAGTGGCCCCTGGTACGCAGTGGGTCAGCGTGAGTGCCTTGGTTGAGAATTAGGGATGGTAGCTGGTAGTATCGATTATAAAGGGTGCGTACCTGTTGTGTGCATTTGTTTAAAACAGATCAACCAAGATGAGGAAGATGCGTTTTTCCCAGCCTAAAATTGCTGGTCCAGTCTGTAGGAGTTAGGCTTGGGTGGGTGGCTGCGTGCCAGGGAACGAAGCCTAAAGCAGCACAGAGCGGAGCTGACTACGCAGGTCTTGCGTGCTCCCCGTGCCCTGAAGAGGCACGTGGCTGGAGAAAGCCTGAGTGCTAACATGACTATTTTCCTGAACTTCTGAACATATATGGGGCTATTGGGGATGGAGTCGTGTTCGTTACATCCTGCAGCCCCTGATCAAAGTACTCTGCTGTAGTCACAGCGTTGCAGCGTTTGTAGTGCAGTTCTGGCACAATATTAGGCAGCGCGGGTTTTAGTGTTTGCCGTGGGAGGGATAAATAATTTTCTTTCCTTTTTAGGATTTAAATGTGGATGAATTTGAAGAAATATTCAAAACAAAAGCCCAAGGTCCAGCCATTGATCTTACTTCAAGCAAGCAAAAGATAACTCAGAAAGGGTCAAACAAAGTCACGTTACTGGATGCCAACAGGGCAAAAAATCTTGCCATTACTTTAAGAAAAGCTGGAAAGACGGCAGATGAAATATGCAAAGCTATTCACGTGTAAGTAAAACACTTGTCAGCAGAGAAATTGTGTTTAAGATTTACTGTGATTTTTGGTAAGTGGAATGGTTTTGAATTGGCAGTTGATGTAAATGTTTTTGCATCTGGAAGAAATCCAGGAGTAAGGATGGAACCATTCTGAATTCCCAGAAATCAGATTCCCTTGAACTAAAATAAAAGACTTGCAGTTTTATGTTGTTGTATCACTATATAGGCTTAACAAATTAACACTTCTTTTATTAAAGAAGCTAATTCATGTATATGCACAGTATGCCATTGCATACTGCATCACTCATTCTGTTTGCACCATACTTTCTGTTGTAATGAACGCTCAAAAGCCAGAGTATCAGGAAGAGGCAACTATTTTAGTTTGCTCCATAAAGCATGAGTTTAGTCCAAGCGCACTGGAAAGGTTTTGCATAGAATTAGGTTTATGTAATGGCCCCAGGCAGTGCCAAACCAAACGTGATGCAGGTGTGCCCGAGGTACGCGGCAGACCCCCGCCGCAGGAGTGCGGTGCGGGGCTCGGCTGTGCCCCATCCTACGCTGATACGGACCCTTGTCTGCTGACTCCAGCAGCTCCCGGGGACGGAGTGCAGGTGTACCTGCTCCTTGGGGCTGACCCTGAATCCATCCAGAAGCACTTAATACTCGTGGCTATGACAAACATCTCCCATTTCTCCGTTAAGGAATATCTTCAAAATTTGGATGCGCAAGCATTACCTTTGGGCTGGTGAGGAGGGTGACCCAAACCTGCAGATTGAGGCAGGGTCAGCAGTTCAGGTTTACAGGGCTGTGGCCCAATTGAATAAAACTGCTATTTGCTCCTCCGCGCGTATCTTCTCTGAGAAAAATGAGGTGTGGCCATGCAGGGGTGGGGGGAATGACCACGTCTTTGAGAACAGAAACAAGGTGCCCATCAGCACCATTCACATCAGCACGGTAACCTTGTTCGCATCTTCATGTGCAGAGAGCTTCACGTGCAGGACCGTGCCCCCCACCCCAGCCAGGGCAACACGGGCAGGAGTAACTTCACAGGTTCTTTATAGTTTCTCGCTGCTTTGCTGACTCAGGCTCATGTGTAGCTGGGCAGTGTAGGAGGCAGAGCTGCCTTTGGCAGCTTTCTCACTTCTTTCACTTTTCCATCATTTTCTGTAGAGCCTTGTCGTAACACCATTTCTTCTGGTTTGGTATCACGTAGGTTTGACCTGAAAACGTTGCCGGTGGATTTTGTTGAATGCCTCATGCGGTTCCTCCCCACGGAGAACGAAGTGAAAGTGCTGCGGCTCTACGAGCGGGAAAGGAAACCCATCGAGAACCTGTCTGACGAAGACCGGTTCATGATGCAGTTCAGCAAGATTGAGAGGCTGATGCAGAAGATGACCATCATGGCGTTTATAGGCAACTTTGCAGAAAGCATCCAGATGCTGACCCCGGTGAGTGAGGGGCAACGCCTGGGGACATCTGGGAATGCATAGGCTGTGCGGCGATCAGGGCTTCCCGGGGGGTCAGGCTCCCCTTGGGAGCTGTGCTCTGCGGCGCGAGTCAGCTTGCGGGGAGCATTGCAGTCATGCGAAGGTGTGGGACAGTTGGTGAAGGTTATAGAGATCTTAATTTTTCTAAGACAAGAGAGATGGTTTGAGTGTTGTGAAGTGATTATTAGTTCTCACGGAGACAGAACAAGAAACAACTACACAAATGAAAAAGTGGTTTTCAAGCTATATTTTCGTATACCAACGACTCTGATATCCCAGGTGCTGTTTGTACCCCGCACTGCTCCATACTGTCCTATTTCTTTACCCTGTGGAAGTTTAAAACCAGTTTAAATGAAAATCTAGTTGTTTGTGTCATCAGGGAAAGTTATTATCAGTGCTGGTCCGTGGGCTCTTTGAAGTGTGTCCCATTCAGCCTGATGCATCTTTCACAGTCGTAAGGACTGAAATGTAAATACACTTTTACCCAACCACATCTATTGTGGTAAATCTGCGGTGCAAATGAATTGTTTGAAATCCTGATGTGTCAGGGCAGGATAACATTCATGCTGGGGCCCACAGTATGGATGAAAAACAAGAGGGTTTTTTCACAATGTGAATGTTTAGATTTTAAGTGTACTCTTGGATTGGATGTGCATTAACCAAAGCTCTTCCTATGTTTACCTGCAGCAACTTCACGCAATAATAGCTGCATCTGTCTCAATAAAGTCATCCCAAAAGCTTAAGAAAATACTGGAGGTAGGTCTTATTTTAGGTACGTTCAATAGCTCCATCACTCACCGGTGTGTCCCCTTACATACACTGAAACTGTACCTGGATGCTGACATGCGTTTGTCCTGAAAACTCATGCTCTGCTCTGTTTCATTCTGGCAGATAATCTTGGCTCTTGGAAACTACATGAACAGCAGTAAACGAGGAGCCGTGTATGGATTTAAGCTACAGAGTTTAGACCTGGTAAGTAAACCAGAGGTGTCTTGTGGGTGGGAATGCGTTTTATGTACACGGCGAGTGGCTGCTGGGGGACTCGGTCAGTGCTTTCCAGCTTTCCAGGCAGAGAGCAGCAGCGGGGAGGGTGCTCCCTGCCAGGCGGTGTGAGTTTGTTTTGCTTGTTGTTGTTTTGGGGGGCCACTTAGCAGAAGGCACATGTCTTCAGAGGCTCTGCAGACCACAGCTTGAAAACCACCTGCTAAACACTTAGGGACGTCTGTAAAAGCTCATTTATCAGATGGAGAAACACCAGGGAAAGGCGAGCACCGGTTGAGTTACTTTGCTTGGAGCCTGCTGCACCTCCACCCAGCAATCTCTTTGCCTTCTCTCCCCAGCTCCTAGAAACAAAGTCAACAGACCGAAAGCAGACCCTGCTGCACTATATTTCAAATGTGGTCAAGGAGAAGTACCAGCACGTATCCCTCTTTTACAACGAACTTCATTACGTAGAGAAGGCTGCTGCAGGTATTGTCACCCTCCTGTGCCTGGCCAGCGGTGGTGGCACACATGCCGTGCGAGGGACTTCATGGCACACCACACATGGGCTGTGGGGGCACTTCTTGGTGGGGAATTGTTCAAGCTGTGGGTTCGTGTGCTTGTGGAGCAGGAGCGATGCAGCATTTTTTTTTTATTTCCTAGTGTCTCTTGAAAACGTCCTCTTGGACGTGAAGGAGCTGCAGAGGGGCCTGGATCTGACGAAGCGTGAGTACACCATGCATGACCACAACACGATGCTGAAGGAGTTCATTCAGAACAACGAAGGGAAGCTGAAGAAACTGCAGGATGACGCCAAAATAGCCCAGGTATTTCTTTATTCTCGGGGTTTGGTGAGGGGGTGTGAGTGACACAGTGAATAGCAGCACGTCACTGCAAAGGATGTGCTTTTATCTACCCAGAAGGGAGGAGAAGGTGCAGCAATGTGGGTTTGTTCTGAGTTCAAGTGCTAGATGTAGGTGTGCTGGTCTGAGCCAAGGGTTTCACATGCAGAGGAAATCTAGACCTTTTACACTGAATACTGCAGTAATGGATGGTGAGTTTATCTTGAAATACGTGCAACGCAGTAAATCTGTGCTTTTTGTAGGATGCCTTTGATGATGCTGTGAAGTACTTTGGGGAGAATCCCAAGACGACACCCCCCTCGGTCTTTTTCCCAGTGTTTGTCCGGTTTGTGAAGGCCTACAAGGTAAACAGGAGCATCCTCCTCTTCTGTCCTTCTGAACTTTTTTCTGAACTTTCTGAACTGATTTGGTACCTGTGTGGCTCGGGGCGCCCAACAAAGCAGCTTGTGGCTCCCTCTAGCTTTGATGCAATGTGAGCCATCCCCGGCAGCACGGCAACACCAGCCCGGGGCAGCACAAATAGTTGTTTTGGGATTATTTTAGGGCTTAAAGACAACACGGCTGTCTGGGACGCTGGAGGAATCCTCAGAAATTTAATGTCTGGGTGGCTGCAGCTTACACCTTTAACCCTGAATACACATCTTTTGGAACTGGGAGAGGATGGTTTGTGCGACCTAGGAAGGTCTCTCCCAGCCCAGTTTTTCCAGACTGTCTTAGAGGCAGCTCAATTGCTACACCTAAGCTTGCTTCCTTGGAAAGCCCCGTGGTAGCAAGTGATAGCGTTACTCATTTGTAATGTTTAGGTTCCCTCTAGCAATTGGAAGCTATAACCTGTGCTTTTTTGTGATAAATAGCAAGCAGAAGAGGAAAATGAGCTGAGGAAAAAGCAGGAACAGGCCTTGATGGAAAAACTTATGGAGCAAGAAGCATTGATGGAGCAACAGGACCAAAAGGTAGGAAACAGATACATCTTACAGGCAGGAGCCATCATGTGCATGTGTTTTCCCTGGTAGTTCAGAAACCTCAGCTCTGTATAAGAACTGCAATTGTCCAACTTATAGTTGCCTCTGAATAGAGTTGCTGGAAGTTTTCTCCTTATGAGGAGAGAACCAAAATAAGCTAAAAGACTACAAGTGTATGGTTGTGTTACTTTGAAGTCTGCAAAATTAAGAAAAACTGAAGAGATAGAAAGTAATCTCGTCCACGTTGCCATTAGCTAAACTTTGTTCTGCTCTAGCCTTGTATCTGTTAAAACCTCATTGGTGTTCAGTGTGCGGAGCCTCCCGTTGCTTACAGGGACAGGAACGATCGTCCCCAGATCCTTCCCTGTCCGAGCATGGCAGCAGGACTGAGCCCCACGTTACCGTTTCGTAGAAATTTTCCTGACGTGTTTTTTTTTTTTTCTGAGGTAACACCTTAGATTTGCTGGAGAAAGTTTCCCATGGCTCTAAAACAGTCACTTTGTTGGCTGGTGCTGCTTCCTACAGCTGTTGTTGGGATCTTTACTCCCAGCCAAGCTTTTTCCCTTGGAAGAAAAGCCTATTCTCCTTGTTCCCCTAATCCTTTTCAGAGGTGAGAGCTTGGAGCTCCAGTTCCAAGTGATGAGAAGGCTTGGAAGTGGATTACAAATGTGAGAAAGAAAAGCAGCTTGGCAGCCAGGTTAACTTGTGACTCTGCCCGTCCTCTCCGTGGGACGTGAGCTAACCGCACACGTGTTTTTTCCCTGGTCTTGCAAAATTGGGCAGAACACTGGCAGTTACTGTTTGCTGATTGCTACCGGTGGGATCACCTGGTGTTTGATGTTGAGGAAGAGAGAAGCAGGGTAGCTGGAGGTCAGGCCTTACAAGTCCTCTCTTCTTTGCTTTCAGTCTCCTTCACATAAAACAAAGAGACAGCAGCAAGAGCTGATTGCAGAGCTCAGACGGCGGCAAGTCAAGGATAACAGGCATGTGTACGAAGGGAAGGATGGTGCTATTGAAGATATTATAACAGGTAAATGCCTTTTGTTCCGTGATCTGAGGCCCTTTCACAAAGGATAAAAATGTGTATCTGCCTAGTAGCTACTGTAAGCGCTTCGTGTACTTCTTAAAAAAACGTTACTCGAGCACAGCTTAGGACATTGTTTATATGATGTGAATCAAGTATAGAAACTTCTGCTAATGGTATGTAACAAAAAAACCCCAGTAACCTGCCTTTACGTGTCCGCTGCCAATGCTGCGTGCGCAGACCTCGGACACACGCTCTGTTTCTTAGTTCTTCTCTTTCAGCATGTGGGGACGTACTCGGTCTCTGATCTTTAGAGTAGCCAGTTCAGTGCCTGATCTCAGCAGATACTCCGGTGGGGATATGCATGCTGTGCAGATCTTTCCCAGAAATCTTTTTTCCCCATAAATGGAATGAATGACAGATATTTAACATTATTAAGAGCCTACATTTTCATTAATATGTACTAACAGTAATCGCACCACATTATTGCACAGTTACAGCAAATCATTTAGTCAAACCTGAATGATTTATGACCCTAAACTGCTTCTGGTTTTACTGCTTCTCAGTTTGGTAGGCAAAGTCTGCGCTGATCTCAACCTTGGGCTGGAGGGAGAGGGGCAGAACCCGCTGTCGTAGTGAGAGACAGTCAGGACTTTGGTGCAAATATTTGCTGATAAAAAGAACTGCCTTCTAAACTGCATTTTGCTCAGGAGTCAAATAATTTTTAATCTATACAGCTGCTCTGAGTGGAGTACTTTGATTTTTCTGCATGTTCTTCACCCATGGTGTGAAAGGAACACGATTTTGACACTTCGATAGCTTTACAGTACTTGGTTTCCATTGCACAGAAGCTTAAAAAAAGGTCTTTGGGCAGGATTTCCTTGGCTACTGCTCCTGAATGTTTTTCACATGAGTTTTTCTTGCAGGAGGGGAGGAGAGCTGTTTTACCACTCACTAAGGAAAGTCAGGGAATTTTTGCCCAACTAGATGACAGGGCTGAAATGCTTGAAGCTTTCACAACTCTTTTTAACCTTGATTAATAGCTTCCTAAGAGAATATTCTTTATGTAAAGGGCGGAGTTGCTATAATATCTAATCTGCTACTTCTAGACAACTCCTTCAGACTCATGGAAGCTTGTTTAATTGGTAAAGTGGTTCTCCTGCTCTGTGGGAAAAACAGATTGTGTGGCAGAAGACCATCCACATGCAAAAGGCAGTCCAGCGGAGGGAGTGCCAGACTCAAATTAAACATTTCCTATGGTCTTGTGCCTAGTATTTCCCATTATGGGGGTGTCTCTGAGGACCTCAAACCATGTAATAATAAAGGTTAGGCACAGAAAGTCAGGTAGGACCGAGGTCACTCAAATACGGCCTGTGAGATCTCTGTCAATGGTATGGAAATGATTGAAAGTGTCATTTTAAATTGGATAGTGCCTCATCAGATGCACAGAAAAGCTCTGCTGATCCGGAGCAGAGCACTGTCTAACAACACACCCTTTCTGGAGCACGTTTAGCAATAGCCTTCAAAACCATTGAAAACGATGTAATGTAAGAAATGCTTATTCAAAGACTTAAAACTCCTTGTTGCCAAAGCCTACTGAAGTGCAGTGCGATTAGACAGCTGGTTGGAACATGTAAGACCGTCTCTGGGTGTCCGTAACCGAGCGCTAACACTGTACTAATGCGATAGATCCGCTTCTCACGGCTCTGTTTGTCTGTTTGGCTGTTATTCCCATGCAGTGCTGAAGACTGTGCCCTTTACTGCTCGAACTGCCAAGCGGGGCTCTCGGTTTTTCTGCGAACCTGTTCTCACTGAGGAATTCCATTACTAAACTATTCCTCTTTCACATCTGATGCTCTTAGAAAAAAGAAAGGTTGCTGTAGATTTTTGACACTTCTCCATTTGTACGGATCTCAGCCAGGATCATGTGAATGTTGAGTGTATAGTAATGTCCAGCGTCCACCTGAAGTTGTATTTATGTCACCTCTGTTGCATGTTCTTGTGTTTCAGTAACTTTTTATTCCATCCCATCGACTTTGTGCTTGATGCTTTTGGCCATCCTTGTGTTTCAAAGGCATCTCTCACCCTCATGCCATAGAACAGCAAGTGGTGGAAGTCACGGTAGATTTGGTGCAGGTTTCCTATAGTTCACAAGACTTAGGAGATCAAATGCAGTCAAGAAGTGACAGTTCACTTGGCTTTTCTATGTCATCTCTTCTGGCCTACAGATCTTTCTCTGTATGCCAGTCTACCTATCTAAAATGCATGTAATACATCAGCTGTATGCCAAAGCAAAATTACGGTCTGCATGAACTAAGTGGGACTTTCTTGGGGTTTGCTTTCTGGCTTGGAAGGTTGTCTGTAATAACGTACGTCCTCTGCGAGGAGTGTTTTGGTTTAGACTTTTTAACCAGCACCTGCATGTTTGTCTGCATGTGAGATACGGGATAAAATGAACAGCGTAAAATCTTTTCTCATTCGGTCACGTCCATATTTAACTTTTTTCAGTTCCATGCCAACTTTATCTAAATAAAATCAGAGATGTTTACTGAGCACTAACCAGTTCCAAGTCACTTGGACTTTGTGCAGTGCTGGGGTTGGGCTCGGTAGCGGCAGCGGAGCATGAACCAGGGGGGCAGAGGGAAGGAGCAGAGCTGGGGAAACACTCGGTTATTTGCCAGAACCACAGAAATTGTGACGATGAGAAGCTTGACATGGAACTGAGCAATTTACATCATGTGGTGTAAAGTGTAAGACGGGTGTGTTTAACCCAGCATGTCTGTTAACACTGTTGTCTTGATTTAAGGACTCAGCGGCTTAAGAAGACAACAGTGTTTCACTTTTGTGATATGTATTTTTATGAATGCTTCTAATAAAATTGCAAACTATAATCAGCTCAACGGTTATTTGCTCTTTCGAGTTAATTGCTGTATCATCTTCCTGGAGCCAATCTTCAAAGCAGCTTGGAATTTGGTTAGCGAGAGGCAAGGGTGGCCCTGCTGTCCTTTCCTCTCGGTGTCTAACCTCCTCTCGTAGCCTTGGCCTTACCCCCTCTTGCTCTGTTGGCTAACGTGCCTGGGAGTTTTGAATGCTGAGTTGACTTGCTCTTCATTTTCCATCCCATTTTTTACTTAACCATCATTTTGTGTTTTGTTTTGTTTTTTTTTTTCTGTTTAGCCCTAAAGAAGAATAATATCACTAAATTTCCAAATGTTCACTCGAGGGTAAGGATTTCTTCTAGCACACCGGTGGTGGAGGATACACAGAGCTGGCAAGCATCACTTTTTACTTAGCTTCCTCCTCTCTCTGTATGCCAGACAGCCTGTTGGTAGATGTGGCTAAGAGTAATACTGGTGAGAGCCTAAAGGCCCGTGGAGACTGAGACCCTTTATTTTCACCCTCTGTGGTGTAGGGCATCCATAGGCCTCGGGCTGGTGACCGTCTTCACACTCTCTCTGTTTTGGCCCTTTCTCTTCCAAGTTTAGCCCGAGATAGGCAGTCTTGTCCCCAGGTTGTTTCAACCCCATAGTTCCCTGGATATTCTGCTGCCCCGTCTCGGTCCTGCTACGGCCACCGAACGCGACGTGAGAGATGGAGAACCAGCAGCTCAAAGTGTGGAGGTGGGAGAGGGCAGCCTCAAGCAAAGGCACCTTCTGCTGGGGTACACCGAGAGCTGAGAGGTTCGGGAGTTGTATTTAAATCAAGACATTAGTCGACCAGGAGACTTGAGGGAGGGTTTGCCCAGTCCAACGCAAATTTTCCAGGAGAGAAGTATTTTAACTCTAATTAGTCTTCAGGTGTACCAAGTGTGCTCGTTATATCGTAGCCACAGACGCGACCCATGTAACAGCACATGTAACACAGGCTTTCATCAACACGTCCATCTCCAGCTTTCTCCGTTGCATGCTCGGTGTTCCCTCCTCTTCCCTCCCGAGCTCTCACCTCCCCAGCAGCAGCAGGGCGGGTCGGGCCGGGCTTTGCTGCCGGCGAGGAGGAGGAGGGAGGGGGTTGACCGCTCCGCTGCCTTCGGCTAACGAAGCATCTCCGCAGCCGGGCGAGATGGTGGCAGTGGGGCAGGACGGCAGCTGGAGCTTTGCAAGCCGGTTGCAGCATACCAGCCGCTTTTTCTCAGGGCGCCCTCTTTTAAATAAATGGGTATATAGGGAGCATAGACCCACCCTTGTGTTGCTAAACACTTGCACCATTGTACCCTGGGTCACACATCTCAGTGAGCTTCATCCTGCTTTAGAAAACTCCTTCAGCTCACGCTAGTGTTTGAGAGGCTGCGTGAAGGACCGAGGCACACGTCAAGCAGACTGATTTCAGTTGACGATGCCTTCCTTACTGGTGTTAATGAACACTAGCAGCCCGTGGGTGGGGAGACGTTCACACTAACTTGACGGCATAACTCCATTTAGTTTCACCAGCATTTCAGCGCATTTCACCAGTATTACCTGCTGCTTGGGTGCGTAGTAAAAGGGCACGTCAGTATTTGCTCACTTCTGCTCTCGTTGGGTTGAAGTCCCTTCTCCTGTTCCTACACAAGCTGCTTTGATTGGCTTCCAGCAGGACTTTTCCTTGTCTAGACTGCGTGTGCGTGCGTGTGTGCGTGTGTGTGTGCACGAGGGCGAGCCGTGCGTGTTTACGAACGCCGCTTTCCTCTCCGCAGATCTTAGAAACCAGCCATACCGACGGGCCGACGCGGTGAGGAGAAGCGTCCGGCGGCGCTTTGATGATCAGAACTTGCGCTCTGCAAACGGTGCTGAAATAACCATGTGAGCTGGAGACCTGCAGGTGTCAAGGAAAGGGGGTGCTTGAATGATACCTTGTTCGTGTGAACTCTGTGTTCTGCCACTCATTTACAGCCTTGGGAACAGTAAAATTTACCTTTCTAAAGGGCTCAAAGACCTAGAAGGTGCATAGGAACGTCAGCGATGGGCTCTCCACTCGACCGTAGCTAACAAGTGCCTAAAATTGAAGTACCTGCTCAAATTAATCAAAGCAATAGGACTTGATTTGATTGGGTATCTTTTTACACCAATACATTATTCAGTATTTTTAACCAAAATGTAAAATACGTGTTGTTTTTGGGTGTTTAGTTTGGTTTGATTATATAAAAGCTTGGTGACTGGTCTCCTATGGACCTGACCTGCATCCCGACTGGTTGTGAACAGGTAATACTTGGACGTGCTCTGCTTTTAAATGCATTCCTGTGCTGTCCGCCGAGGGATTAACCTTGGCTTCAGCTGCACTTACTGGCTTTTGTGTTTTGTTTTGTTTTGTTTTAAAAGGAAGACATTTAAGGGCTTTCTGTTTGTAATACGGAAATAATTCCAAGAGGAGACCCGTACCTTTTCCCACCACACCCACAGACACCGCACCGCCGTAGCTAGGATGCGGTACCGTGTACGTCAGTGATCACAAGATGTATAGCAAACGAACACGAGTCTTCACCGTGAGGTTGTGATGTTTGTGGTGTGCAACGCGGGGCTGAGGCACGGGGGTGCGGGGGCACAGACGCATTGCAAATGCACAAAACGAGAAGGGTGGCTAAGGCATGTTTATGTTCTTCAGCTAGAGGCAGCTTTTGAATAACAGTGTATTTATTAATTAGCACTAAGGTATTAACATCTCAATAATCAGTATTAGGATTCTGAGGACCATTGCAGTTCAGTTACTCGCGCAGAGAATCATCCTGTGCCCTGCTCTGTGGGATTAATACCCCGCTGCAACTCCAAGTTCCTTGGACAATCCAGTTCAAATTCCCTGCTAAGGATCATTCGGTCAGCGAAGGGAAGCCCAGCCTAAAAATCCCGATAGGTTATAGGTTATACATCGCATTTTTAAAGCTTAAAAAGGGAGATGAGACTGACTTTAGCAACATTACGCATCCCCCGCTGCTAGTTTGCACCAGTATCCCAGAGCAGCAAGATGAAGCCGAATTGGTGCCGGCAGGGTACGCGATCTTCTCAGAAGTGAAGAACTGGACAGGAGAGAAATTTGTACTTTCCAAGATACATTTTGCTTACAGCTTACCTTTCCTGGTCTCATTGCATCAATATGTTAATTGTAAAATTTATTGTATAGTATTTAACCACTGAATTTCTTTTTCTTTTATGTTGTGCTTATGTGAACCACTGGTGAAGGTCCCATTTTTTTCTTGGATAATGTGTAGTTATATAATAATCTGTTTTTAAATGTACAGATATTTTGCTACAAAATTGGTGCAGTTTTTTATGGTTTTTACACTTCTCTTTTATTCCCACTTTAGCCTCTGGGTAATATTGTAAATATTGTTTAAAAAAAAAATGCATCAGCCTGTGCTATACAATCTGAATGTTATTTTAACTTATAGTTTTTGTTTTTATATTTAACTAAATGGACAGTTTGGGGCTCAAAGTTACCACATTGACCTCTGCTTACCTATTTACAGGAAGTTTACTTTAAAAACTGCCACCTTCTTGCATTTACAGCAACGTGTACTTGACATGCTAAAGAGAACATGCCAAATCGCCTCTTTCTTCACTGACAGTGACAGAAGAGTATTTTAATCTGCGTAAGAAAAGTTGACAATTAATTTAATGAATTGTTTAGGCAAATGCTTAGAAGTACTAGCTCTCACATTCTTAAGCTCAAAGGTATTTTTTTAATTGAAGACAAAAATGATCCTACAACTAGAATATAATGCTGGCATGTTCTCTTTAATATTTTTCTAGTAATAGACCTGCTGCTTAGCAATATTAGAAGTGTTTTATAAAAGCAGTTCCTGTTACTTTCCTGGTCTGTTCCTGGCATAAGATCAAATAAACTATTTACACTACTACACAGTAATCCACAGGGGGTTTTTTTTTTTTGGTCACTTTTACATTTTTTTCCACAAATGGTGGTATTTTGCAGGTGAACACCTGGAGCTTTCAGCACGGGCAGAGAGAAAGCCTGGGTGCTGGTTTGGTTTTGGGGTTTTTTTTGTTATTTTTAAAACCACTCACTGTTTGCTGCTGTACCTCCAGTCCCTCAGTGACTGTAAGTGGACCCTGGTGCTGTTTTTTCTTTTTTTTTTTTCCCCCCTCTGAAGTGTAATTCTTTGGAGCTGTTGGAGTTGGGGAAGGAATGGAAGGGAACCGCCGAGGCCCTTCCACACCTCCCTGCAGCGATCGCACCCTGGACCGAGGCTGCCTTTGCCGTGGGTTCCCACTGTTCGCTACCCGGCCTCTGCTGTATTGATGCCAAAGTAAGTCTCCAGGTAATTTACATTTGCAACATCAGTTTACTCCTCACTACGGCGTAGCCAGGCTAGCAAGGGGACAAATTCTGCATCGTTGTTCCTGCAGTGGGCACGTGCTGTACGGTACCTGGGGCAGGAATACAGAGCAGGGTGCGTGTCCGCAGCAGATGCCAACCCCTCTTTGTGAAAATGAGTGGCGATGAGTAGTTTGCTATAAATTTAAAAAAGAAAAAAAAGTACAAGTATTTAAGTCCTAAACTTAAAGAGAACAACTCCATACTTTAGCCAAAATGCAGATTTAATTTTTAGAAGGGTTTAACAAAATAAATACAGTGGAGCGTAGGGGGAGAGCGGGTGCAGCCGGCCCCACGCGAGCTGGCACCCGGGCGCTGCGGGGCGGCAGCTGCCAGGTGGGATTGGAACTGAACCGTCACAAACAGGACAGGGAGCTGCGCCAGGGCTGCGCAAAACAGAGAGCAAATCAAATACAATCAAATTTAAACACTGTGATGGACACCATTAACACTTAAAAATAACTGATCTTGTTAAAAAAAATCCTTTCAATTTCAAGGCACAGAGTTTGAGCCCAGAGCTTCATTGTGCTGGCCAGGCAGGAGGGAGAGAGTCGCCCTGTAAGAACACGGCTGGGCTACACAGGCAGCGCGGTTCTACCACATCAGTGACAGGCCGCCGTAATGAGATGAGGCTGCGAAACGGGAAAGAGGAGGAAACAAACAAACAAAAAAAACCCCAAACCCTGCAAAAAAGCCTGAACTCATTTCCCTAAAAACTAAATTATGCCTTGCCAGGATTGTTCTGAAAGCAGGCTCCTTTTAAAATGCATTTCTTTTGCAAGATCTAATTAAGACATACAAAAAAAAAACTCCATTAGAATAATTTACAGGTTTTTATTTTTAATGGAAAAATAAAGGCAACCCTTTTAAAAGTATTTACTTAGAAACACTTTTTCCTTATGCAAGTTACGCAAATGCAAGGCAATAACAAAATATTGTACATACGTTCTAATGCGTTTGCAAACCATTGCGACCTGTCCGGTTCTGTTAGCTCAGCACGCGCCAGCTGCCCACGTCCAGCACTACGTCGGTGTGAAACCCATGTCAGACACGATTAACGCTCGCCTCACATTCTCGGAACCATTGGTTGGGCTGTCTTCCCCCTGGGCATTGCTACCTGCTACGCTATCTACGAATGTCTGCGTTAAAATATAAATCCAGGAAAGTGAATTTACACGGTTAGCAAAATACACGTTTAAAGTCTCGGCTGGTTAGTCCTGGGAGCACCAACTGCTGTCTGTCCTGCCAGGCTTGGGAGAGCCACTTGCTGCGGGGCAGAAACAAAGCTGCCCGCGCTTCAGTCAGCACCTTCCCAGATTTTGACATTAGATACAAAGAATTACAAGTCCTGTTTGACCAACCTCAGGTGTTTTTCCCCAAGTGATGGGCAAGGAGTGGGTGATGAGCAGCCACTCCTCACTCTGTTGGAAAACACCAATATTGAAACACGCTCAGTACCAAAAACCCCGTGAGGTTCAATTAAAAAGGTCATTGGGTCCCACCGAGTACAGCGGGTCAGCTGCCGCCAGCCGTTTGTATTTCACATGTAATATTTCAATCCCAAATAGCCCTCAGAATCAGCCTGAATCACATAACCACCCTAGCAGGAAAACGCGCTGTATGAATTGGACCTTTTGGGGGTTTATGCACTAGTAACAGCTGTCAATATTAGAGGAAAATGCACTGAAAAGGAAGCTGAACTGTATAAATAGTCTTCAAATAGTTAGTGGAGAACGTACGTTGCTTAAATCCAACAATCAGAAGACAGTAATAATTTACCAGAGCTGTACAGAGTATTTAGAAATAAATACTAGTACACACTAGAAGACAAGGTTTAATAATTGATAAAAATGTACAAAAATATTCCAACGGGAGAGGTTTCAGAAGGTAGGAAGCTGAACTGTATAAATAGTCTTCAAATAGTTAGTGGAGAACGTACGTTGCTTAAATCCAACAATCAGAAGACAGTAATAATTTACCAGAGCTGTACAGAGTATTTAGAAATAAATACTAGTACACACTAGAAGACAAGGTTTAATAATTGATAAAAATGTACAAAAATATTCCAACGGGAGAGGTTTCAGAAGGTGTACCACAGCGGGAGAGGTTTCAGAAGGTGTCCCACAGCAGCCGCTGCTTGTCACCGCGCAGGGCTGGCACAGCCTTCCTGAACACAAACTGGTCAGAGGCGAGCAAACAGGAGACGGGGCTTCAGCTTCTTCCTTTCCCCTTTTTAAGGGATGTTCTAGATGCGGCTACGTGGCTGCTGTTGAAACACGGTGGTACATTCTTCAGCAGGTTCTTAAGGCAACGCATTGAAATTCATTTACAATTTGATTTTGTTTTTAAATTTTCTTAACGGGAAGGTTAACGCTGAAGTAACACCCGTAGCTGTTCGGATCGGGTTTTGGGGGAATGCGAGAGGCGGCTGGGACAGGCAGCACCCTCTGCTGGCACCGCAGCGAAGGGCCCCTCGCATT